CACCATCTTCTTTTGAGTCCGTGGAATATTCTATCTTGCACCAGTTAGTCTTTCTAGGTAAGGTCAAATCCAAAGAGCCGATAAGATAATGAGTGTGTGGCGACAAGGTTTTAGAGAAAGAGGAAGTTATGTTACCATGGTAACTTTACAGCGGCTCTCAACCTTTACTCAAGAGAGCTGGGTTTCCTGTATGGTTTTCCATTTGTGCAGTGAGTGGTCTTCGCCGCCACTGAGAATCTGGTAAAGTAACTGCCGAGGCTTAAATCTCCCCAGTAGATTTCACTGGAGAAACTTGACAGTGCCCACAGGCAGATTCTCTTCTTACAGAAGGACAGAAAACCCCCGATGTTTATGTGAAACCCGGTTACCTGTATTTCAGCTTCAAAGGATTCATAGAGAAGTGAGAAACAAAAGAATACGAACGCCTTTTAAATGCCTAAAACATACCAGTGCTATGGAAAGTCTAGAATATATTTGTAATAATTATAGCCATGTTTGGGAGTTTAGGTGTGCCTGCTATTCACCCTCAGCATAGTCTGAAGAAAATATCTCACAGGCCCATGTATTGGGGATGTGATAGCCAGTTGATAGATTTCAGGAAACTTATTCATAAGAAACTATTGGAGGGGGGCTGGAGAGATGGCTCAGCGGTTAAGAGCACACTGGCTGTTCTTCCAAAGGACCTGAGTTCAATTCCCAACAACTACATGGTAGCTGACAACCATCCAGGGAGGAGGGGGGTCATTAGGGGTCACGCCCGGGAATGATGCACTTTTGTCCCCTGACCCTCTTCCTAGCTTGCACACCAGTATGCAGCACTGTTCTTCCACGCTGTATCCACATGCGCCACCTTACCCTGGCCTAGAAACAACGTGGACTGAACCCCTAAACTCTCCTCCTCTGAGGTGTCTTCCTGGAAATTTTGTCACAGCAAGGGAAACCCTGGCTGATACAATTACCTTCAAATTCGTGTTTAAACTGCTGTTTTCAGTTGAGCATAGTTGATCCTGGCACCTGTAGTGTTGATCTGGGAGCGCTTCTTCTTGGGGTGTAACCTCACAAATCCCAGGGCGAATGTGGAAGTTCCAGGTCAGCCCCATCTCTGGAAAAACTGTACCCCATGATCAGCTAAAGTCAGGAAGTGATAAGCTAAAACTAGCCTGCAGAAAGCGGGGAGATACTAAGTATTGACAAGACTCCTTGACCAAACCCCTCGGGACACGCTAAGTACTCAGCTGTGCTAGGTAGGCCTTCATCTGTGGGCCTTTGCTAGGCCTGGACAGACCAGCATTTAAAAAAAAAAAAAAAAAACCTTTTCTGGCAGTCTAGAGAGTGTGTCAATCTCTCCTATCCTGATATCTGAACTTCCTGTCTTGACGTCAGCACTGTTAACTCTGCTGTCCCCTTGATGTCCTCCACTTCATAACTCTTAATTCCTCAGGGGTCTTTATTATGTTTGAAGTCGAGCCTAGTTCTATCCTGAGATTTATTTTCCTCTGTTGGACCCTAGCGTCCAATCACCGAGGAGGAGGAGTCGCCCCAAGAGACCATCTCTCATATCACAGCTGATGTAAAAGCATGAGGATTTTATTAATTCTGTCATGACAGGGTCTTCCACAGAAGGAAGGGGGTGCCTGAGGGTTGTTCTTTAACTATTATGATTGGCTTATTCAAAAAGGCTATTACCAATAATTGGCTGGAGAGTGGTTGCCAGATCAAATGAGGTAAAGGGAAACTTCTGAGGGTCACTTTGCCCCTTCCCAGGGACTAAGTCAAAACATCAGTAACTGAGACAACACCTAAGGCTTATCTTGCCTTAGGGAGATGGAAAGTTCCCAACGTCTCAGTACGTGCATGTATAACTGTTCTGTCCTTGGTTCCCAGGGGAGGAGGGGAAGTACTGAGAGTTGTCAGAAATGGCTTCAGAATTGTCTTAAAGTTCTACACCTCTAGTTGTTCCCAAATAAAATTTATTCTGGCTTCTTCTATTCACTCTACTGTTACCTTCCAATATGATGTATATATAAGTATCTTTATTGTCTATTAAGATGTCATCCTTATAAGTACACACTAATATAAATTAGTGTAGTTCTAAAGGTAATTTCACATTATTCTCTTTATATAAAGATTTCTACAGCATTATTTATGAAAAAAATTAAAAGAATTTGAATATGTATAATAGCACACAAATTATGGTGCATTCATCCATAGAGATACAGATCATGAAGTATTCATAAAGAGTTATTGTAACCAATAGCATTCTTAAACTATGGCTATGAAAAAAAATGATACAAAATGCATAAAATTATGGCCTCCATGAAACCTTTGAATGTTTAAATTGTATTTTTTAAAACACAGATATGTGTTCAAATGTGCATGAACACACATGACTGAATTAACAGCAGTATGTTAGAGAATCTTGCTGGCTATGGTAGCTCACACCTTTAATCCCAGTACTGGGGAGGCAGAAGTGGGTGGACTTATGTGAGTTCGAGACCGGTCTGGACTGTTAATAAATTCCAGGATAACCAGGGCTACAAACTAGAGAGACCCTGTCTCAAAACGAAAGATAGAAGCCAGGTGTGGTAGCTCGTGCCTGTAATCTCAGCCCTTGAGATGCTGAGGCAGGAGGATGACAAATTTGAGGCCAGCCTAGGCTAGAGAGTAAGACCTTACATCAGATGGGAAGACCCCCCAAAGTCGGAATTCCTGGTTACAAAGATGAACTGCCCAGCTTGAAAGGGTGGTGACTGAATGAACGTGGGAGCTGAAGAGACAGTCTCTCTCTAGAGCAGTGGTTCTCAACCTTCCTGATGGCTGCCATCCTTGAACACAGTTCCTCATGTTGTGACCCACCCCCACCATAAAATTATTTCCATTGCTATTTCATAACTAATTTTGCTACTGCCATGAACCATAATATAAATGTGTTTTTTTCTGATGGTTTAGGGCAACCCTGTGAAAGGGTCAAATGACCCATGGGGGTCACGACCCACAGATTGAGAATCGGTGTGCTGGAGGCTTTTGAGCCCAGGGCTTTCCAGAATCTAATTAGAGAGGGTAAGAGTATAATGGAGCCTTAAGTCATTTCTCCTCCACCCTCCCATGCAGTGACAGTTATGATACAGGAGGGTACTAATACCCTGTCATGTGTGTACAGGTTTACCATGCCCTGTCTGTGTTAATTTGCATATGACTCTCCAAAATAACGTTTGTTTTCTTATTACAAGAGATAGTGTGTTTCCACTGTAAGAAAACAAATAATCAATAAAAATGCAGAAAATTAGAAACAGAATTTGCTGAAACACCACTGTGGCAAAGACTAAAGGCACGAACCATTTCGGTATTGTGCTGGCCGGGTTTCTGTCAACTTGACAGGAGCTGGACTCACCGGGGAGAAGAACCCTCCAGTAAAGAGTGCAGCCATCAGACCAGCTGTGAGCAAGTCCGTGGGGCATAGTTTTGATTCATAACTGCATGGGAGGGCGCGGCCCGCTGTGGGCAGTGCCACCCCTAGGCAGGTGGTCCTGGGGACTATAAGAAAGCAAGCCAAGCAAGGCAGTAAACAGCGTTTCTTCTTTGTCTCTGCTTCAGTCCCTGCCTGGACTGCCCTCACTAACTGGGTGTGGTGTGAAAGTTCTTAGGTTTCTAAGAACTTGAGGAGTATACTAAGCTGTTCAAGGTCTCACAGCTAGTTGCTACTCCTGACAGAAGGAAACTCAAACGCCACCCCCCACGGCTTCCTCCCTGCCTCCTTCACCAAGCACGCCTGTGTGTGTACACGTGTTTCACAATTCTACTTTTGAATTCTTCAGTCTTAACCACATCATAAACCCTTTCCTCCCGCAAGTTCTTCTGCCCCGTGTTTGGTCCTCGCAACGGAAAGAAAACTCTAGGGCAAGTTTCAAGATCAAAAGTCCTGGGAGCTGCATGTGTGCAAGGGGGTGGGGTGGGTGCTCAACCATTAAATTTGGCACTGTGCTTTATTAAGTCACCCCACTTTAGTCCAGTATATTCATACTGTCATTTGGGCCATTAGTTATTGGTCACTTAATAATTGTTTTAATAACAAAACAGAGGGGTTTTTTTTTTCCAGATAAACTTTAGGAATTGCTGTCCATGTCCTAAAAACCTTTATTTTACTTAATAATGGTCTCAATACATATAGTGGTGATGCTGGCAAGTTTATCTGTAAATACCCTTAATTGTTTGCGTTTATTATTACTGTTATCTCCTAACTGTGCATACCTTGTAACTGTGACTTTACCACTACGTCCAGATGGGAAACTGTTCTCAGCGCTCATAATAAACTGGTAAAGCAGGGACCACTGTATTCCCACCACTATTTGCACAGAGGATTCCAACAAAAAAGGTTTTGCAAAAACCATTTGCAAGTCCTTTGGTAGAGATTCGTGATGGTAATCTTGGCTGTCAAATTGACTACATCTGGAACCAACAAAAACCTAGGCAGCTGGGCACTCCTGGGAGGAATTTTCTTAATCAGATCATTTGTAGCAGGGCAACCCACTCTAAATCTGAGCCACGCCTTCTGCCTTCTGGTGATAGCTCACATTCTAAAGAAAGTTGCTTTTGGTTTGCCTGCCTCCCCTCTTGACTGGTAAGCGCCTTCATTTCCTGTTGTGGTTGGTGTTAAACTCGGCTCCTTTAGGAGTCCAGTGTAGACGGAAAGCCAGCAGCTCTTCAGGAATCCCCCAGGGCACCAACTCCAGAATTTGACTGCTGCAACATCCCGCCTCAGAGACTGAACATCTAACCAGCTGCTGGCCTCTACTGGCATGAGTCAACCATTGTGGAACCCCCCAGGCCACATCCTCTAAGCCAGTGTAACAGATCCCCCGTGAATCCATATAGTCTAACATTTCTGTTCCTTTAGAGAAGCCTGACTCACACAGGACTTATTTCTGGAGCCCACAGAAATTCCTTTGGAAATACCTCAGCTCCAAGCTTGATGCTGCCTAACAAGAATCTGTGTTTTGTAGGTGCTGTGTCACCGAGAAGCACCGACGGGGACAGGGTTAACAACAAACTGAGCTGCAAGCCATATATGGAGAAATCCAGCTCGAGAGTTTCACAACGACTCAACGTTCTGCTTTCAGACTTCTCCAGCTGAGGTCAACTGTGCTTGGTGGGGCTGGTCACAAAGAACCCAAGTGCTTCAGATGTAGCTCGGAGGCAGAGCCCTTGCCCATCACAATCGACCCTGGGTTCAACCTTCCAGCACAGAAGAAAAGGTCTGAAAACAGAACCAAGCATTCTATCAGAACCCAGGGGCTCTGGGTTCTAGGTCCAACCGCAGCCAGAGGCATCATGCAGGCCACCCTTGCTATGATGGTCTGGATGGCTTCTTCCGTTTCTAGTTCTTCATATACCGCAAGTACTTTGCCAGATATAACCAATGAGGATTTCATCCAACAATGTGTTCAAATCCACAACCAGAACCGGTCCAGAGTGAATCCGACAGCCAGGAACATGCTGTACATGGTGAGTGTGCGAACAGTGTTTGTGGCACGCATCCATCAGAGGCAGCCTGCCTGTGCTTAGCTGGGTGTGAATTCTGGGTAATCCCAAATGTTTTGGTTGTTGTTGTTTTGCTTGTGATTGCTGTGTGCAGTACACTTGGAGTGTGATCAGAACCTACACAATGGATCCCTCCCTCCTTCCCTCCCTTCCCTCCTCCTTCCCTCCCTTCCCTCCTCCTTCCCTCCCTCCTTCCCTCCCTCCCTCTCTCCCTCCCTCCCTCCCTCCAACTCAGTCTTAAGCAATGCCACAGGCAGCATGAGCATGGTTCAGTTCTTTCTGGATACTTCCTTTTCGCCAGCCACGAGCCATAGACTTCTCCTTGCTGCCACTTCTTTTTCTGTTAGTATTGTGTGACAGTTCTTTCTGTGTCTTAAGGATTGTTTTTCTTTCTATCGTGTTCTGTATAAATAATGGTGACTTCATTATGATAATTTCTTGCATCATGCTTTGATTATATTCCTCCTATTGCCCTTTTGGCCTGTTGGTCCTCCGGCCCTCTGATCCTGTGCCTCTTCGGAATCTGCTCTATTTCGCTTAACATGGTGATCTCCAATCCATCCATTCTCCTGCCAATGTCCTGAGTTTGACTCAACAATACTCCACAGTATGTATAGAAATACAGACACACACACAAACACACACACACACACATACTTCTCTCATCCCTTCATCTATCTGAACAATCATATGTAACCCAGAGCTTGGATATTGCCAATAGTACCACAATAGACATGGATATGCAGATATCCCTAAAGTGTAGATTCCTGTAGATAGATGTGCCCAAAAATGCTATAGTGGAATCACATGATAGTCTTACATCTCTATTTTTTGGTGACCCTATATACTGATTTCCATAGTGACTGAACTAGTTTGTGTTCCTGTTAGGACTTTTCTCCACCCATGTCTTTGACGCCATTTATTTTCTGAATTAGATATTGTACTGACCAGGGTAGGTTGTGCTCTTACTGTACTTTCCCTTTGCATACCGCTGATGGCTAAGGATGTTGACCCACACTTCTTCTGAGGACTCTGTTCACTTCAGTTGTGTTGGTTGTTGGCTTTTTCATTCTGTTCGTGTTCAACACTTTTAGTTCATTTTGGAGATTAATCCATTGGCGGATGAGTATCTGGAAAACATTTTATGCCTTTTTTATCTTTTTGAGATACATGCTTTACCAGTCCTGGCTAGCCCGGAACTTGCTATGTCGATGAGGTCAGCCTGATGCTCTGCATCCCACCGTCACTGTTGTGATTAAAGGTGTGTACCATCACACTCAATTTCTCTGCCTCCTTTAGGATGCCACTTCGCTGTGGTAGTGCTGCCACTATGCCCATGGTTTTTAGCTGATGCAGTCTCACTGCCGTTACGTTACTTTTGTCATTTTCTCTGCCCGAGCTACTGAAGCCCTACTCAGAAAATGATCACCTATGCCTCACATACTGAAATCTATGCCAAAGCAACTAGTCAAAAAGAAAGAAAAGCTACAGATAGAAAAAAAGGAAGCAAAACTGAGGCACTGGTTGTGGTAGTTTCAGGTCTCATCTTAAGGGTTTTTTTATTTTTATTTTTATAATATTATTACAAATTTTCACCTCCTCCCCTCCTCCCATTTCCTTTCCCTTTCCCCCCATTCCCCCTCCCCCTCACTCTCCAGACCAAAGAGCAGTCAGGGTTCCCTGCCCTGTGTGAAGTTCAAGGTCCTCCCCACTCCATCCAGGTCTAGGAAGGTGAACATCCAAACAGACGAGGTTCCCACAAAGCCAGTACATGCAGTAGAATCAAAACCCAGTGCCATTGTCCTTGGCTTCTCAGTCAGCCCTCCTTGTCAGCCACGTTCAGAGAGTCCAGTTTTATCCCATGCTCCATCAGTCCCAGTCCAGCTGGCCTTAATGAATTCCCATTAGATCAGCCCCACTGTCTCCGTGGGTGGGTGCACCCCTCGTGGTCCTGACTTCCTTGCTCATATTCTCCCTCCTCCTGCTCTTCATTTGGACCTTGGGAGCTCAGTCCAGTGCTTCAGTGTGGGTCTGTGTCTCTATCTCCTTCCATTGCCAGATGAAGGTTCTATGATGATATGCAAGATATTCATCAGCGTGGCTATAGGACAAGACCAGTTCAGGCTGTCTCTCCTCAGCTGCTCAAGGAACAAGCTGGGGGGGACATCTCCTTGGACACCTGGGAACCCCTCTAGAGTCCAGTCTCTTGCCAACCCTAAAATGGC